AAAAACTGAGATTTAAGTTTAATTGTTTTTTTTTTTTTTTTTTTTTGCCCTCTAGAGGTCTGGTTTGACTTTGAGACCTCTGGGCCTCTCATACGATTTTCTTTGTTTCTCAGCAGCTGCGAGTGGCATATCTACAGTAAAAATGTAAGTTATATTAAACACAATGTTGTAATTTAGTCAATTATTACTTTAAAATGTATTTATTTAATAATTTAATTCATTTATACATACATTTATTAAATTGTTCTCACTAACTTAAATTACTTCACAATAGTTGCATGATGTCAACTCTGTTACTTTACTTTGGTAACAGAGTTTGACGGTAACAGAGTTGACAATTTCAAGCATTTCTGTTAAAAACTACACTTGCTAGCATAAATGCTAAAAGCACGTCTCCAACAAAATCATGGTTGAAAAACCTTTAGATAAAACATTTATATATGTTAAAATCAATAGTGTTTTTCTTATGATATTAAGGTAACAACATTGAATTAGAAAAAAAGACTCTTTGTTTTAACGCGTTTCAAATTGAAATCATTTCTCAGAGAAGCACAGACACGCCTCTGTGTGCTAGAGATTCTATCAGTAAAAGGAAGTGACATCATTTCATTTAGTTTATGTAGCTGTGGAGAGTAATTCCACAAATTTAAAGGAAAAAAAACAGAGTTGACAAAATATTCCTGGACACATTTTTAATGAAAAAGGGTGTTTTTAATTTATTTACTGCAATATTACTACATACTGTAATTGACTATTTAGGCAAGTTAGAAAAAGATAAAATTGACATGTTAAAAAAATGATGGAAAAAAATGTTTTTCCATCATATTTTAAGATGGAGAAAAAACATTGACCAACCCGGAAAACAAGAAATCATTTATTGAACTATACAAAACACATTTAAATGTAATTATATCAATGTTATGAATTGTGACGTATTATGATCCATACAAATAACCAATAAATTATTAGGAAAAAAAATTCCAACGAAGTAGACCAAAAATATTGATCCTGGACACCAGTATCTCCAATTATAAAATCACACTCAAGCATGTTTGAGAAATCCTGTAGTGTCCCGAAGCAACCAGGCAAATGAGCAAAAATGAACAGTTGGGACTAGAACCGCCTTTTGGGACTAGCTCCGCCTCTGGGCTGTGTCTCCAAACCAAGTTTCCTCATCACAGAGCAGACCTCTCCACCGTCTGCCTGTGACTCCTACAGGCTCTCGGCAGCAACAAAGCAAACAACTGGTGAAACTGAAAGTGAAACTGAAGCTGTCTGCTGAGCTCCCAATACTACTTCTCAGTGCAGCCCCATTCAGATTCAAAATACCTTTGAGAAAATTTATTTTCAGATGCCAAGTAAACTACGTCGAGCTTCCGTATCACAGCGCAACCCCCTACCCCCATCCCGCGAAATGGGCGGGACAGAAGTGGAAGGAGGTTCTTAAAGGGACAGAGGCTAATTTCAAGGTGTTTAGAACAGGAAATTGTTAGAAGACAAGTTTATTTTCTATTTAAATATGAAAAACAACATTTTAATAACAACTGAAGGTGACATAGATACTTTATTGTGATATAGTATTTAAATATGTGCCTGAGAAACACATAATATTGGCCCTTTAAAATTAATATTATGCACAGTCTCATTAATATTATAATCATCTTGCATGATTTGTTAATGTTTAGAGTATGTTATTTGTGAATCACTCTCAGCTACCACCATGCCTGATTTTAGTACAATATCTGTAACTGAGGTAAATACATTTTTATATGTTAGCTAATAAATTTTAGACGTAAAGAACATCCAATGACCACTTTCTAAAGTTTCATTAAAATCTGTTCAGAGAAATATCTTGCTAACAGAAAAACTGGGTTGACTCCAATTGTTAATGTCAAGGGTTTAAGCAAAGATACTGAGTAATGAGTGGCACTCATTGCACACAAAGTTTTTGCTCAAATTCTGTAAAATTGTTGAATTATAGCTTTTTGTGTGTTTTATAAGATCAGCTGCTGTGGTGGCCATCTTGATTGGGTCGAGTTCAATTGATGACTTCCATCCAGTTACTTTTACTTTCTTAAAGCTTCAATAAATGGAATAGAACACTTTGCCAACAAACAAATAAATTAACATCAGTTTTAAACAAAGTTTTTGTGCAATATGTTAACACAATATGGAAATGTAAGCTGTGGATCATTGTCGGCTACTAGCACTTTAAATTTTGTTAATCTCCATTAATATTTTTTAAAGGGCCAATATTATGTGTTTCTCAGGCATACATTTAAATACCATACCACAATAAAGTATATATGTCACCTTTAGTTGTTATTAAAATGCTGTTTTTAAGTTTGAATAGAAAATAAACTTATCTTCTCATCACTTCCTCTTCTAAATGCCTTGAAATTGGCCTCTGTCTCTTTAAGATCCACCTTCCGCTTCTGTCCCGCCCATTTCAGCGCACGCGGGGGGTTCGCGCGCACACTATGATGCAGTTTACTTGGCATCTGAAAATACATTTCCTCAAAGGGATTTTTAATCTGAAAAGAGCTTCACTGGGTGAGAAGTAGGAGCTCAGCAGACAGTTTCACTTTCGGTTTCAGTTTCACCTGATGTTTGCTCTGTTACTGCTGAGAGCCTGCAGGAGTCATGGGCGGTGTGTGGGGG